TCCCCTTCTTCCCCTTCTTCCCCTTCTTCCCCTTCTTCCCCTTCTTCTTCCCCTTCTTCTTCCCCTTCCCCTTCCCCTTCCCCTTCCCCTTCCTCTTTTCTTTTCTTTTGTTCACCTCATGCTCTGGATATACAGATCTGCTGGTGTGTCTGTCATATTAACTTCCTGGATCTAGACCCTTCTCACCAAAACTGTGATAGTGGAAAAATATCCTCTGTATTCTAAGATAGCACTTTCCTACCAAACCATGAAAGTCATAATTTCATGCTTGAAGCTACACAGTGGAATTAGAGTTCTCTGTACTAATAATCTTTTAATTGAAAGCAAGCAAACTCCTTATTGATCAGTATTCATGCCTTTGTGCCAACCCTGCCATTCACATAGAAGTCTGAAGTAGAAACTTAAGGGTTCTTTGTAAAGTCAGTTATGTTAGAAAGTGTTTTGCTGGGGCAAACACGTGAAGGAGTGTTGTCCTGAAGTAGACACAGGTGAAAAGCTAAGGCAGACTCATGAAGGAATGTTTAGCTGAAGCGGACACGAGAGAAAAAATGTTCTACTAAAGCAAGCACATGAAAGGACATGTGCACATGATGAAGGATTCTTCACTAAGGACACACATGTATTGGTCTACCTTACATTGTGTAATTGAGCTCCATTTGTTGGGACTCCATAGAGAGAAACACTGGACAATATTGCACCAAAAACTCTTGGTGGCATGCTACAGTTTCTTGCCACTTCCAGCTTCCGTGGACTTGGGCTGATTGGCAGAGTTGTGTCAGCTGAGAGAGACACACATGCTGAGGCAAGACACATGCTGTGGCCACGTGGTGTTTGGAGGGAGTTTGTCCTGACTTGACGGACAGCAGCTGAGGCTGAGCTTGCCTTGCTTATAGAGCTCGCTTAGCTACTGTGCAACAGTAGTTGGTCTGGCATCTTCACTGATCTTCACTTTGCTGAGAGAGGCACAACCAAGAACTTTTCCTGCTCACTCATGCCAAGGCTGAGGCCTGGCTGACTCTGCTAGGCAGTACCACCACTGCTGTTTCCTGTTTGCTCTTCTGACTCTACAGAACTGGACTGCAGGTGTATCTGTGAAGTGTTTGGGAATGGGTTGAGCCACTGCTGCTGACCACCAAACTGAACTGAACTGCCAATTTCCAGACAGCACAAATGAGAGTTGTTGCTCCAAAGAACCTTTCTAAACAGGACCACTTTCCCCATACCCTTTCTTTTTCCACTACCTCTGGTAGATGGTGGGCTAAAAGGGAGGTTAAAACATTAAAGAACCGTTGTTAAAAGTAGGATTTGAAAAAAAATAAAGTTTCAGAAGTCCCTTTCTATACTTAAGTTTTGTATATCAGTGGACCAGCAGACAGTTCTAATAACTGTGTATGCTACTACACAGAGCCCTTTTCTGAGCCCCGGAGACGGGTACAGCTTCCCCGAGTGGGGAGCTGCAAGGTCTGTGAGCCGTGTGGGAGGCAGATAGACACTCTGTTGCTGCATCAGCTTCTTCAGGATCACAAGCAGCAGCTGGCTCACCACCGCTCTGCATGTGCCTCTCTTCTGAGCTTTCTTGTTTTAATGTTAATTTGGACAAATTGTAAAGTGCAGTTGCAGTTGATTTTAGGATCCAAGTGGTTTATGCCATTATCTTTTTAGATGCAAGCTTTTGTTTCTTTATACTTTTATTTCTATTATTTTAATTTACTTTTTTTTTCTAGGCATATTGCAGGACTTAATGCCAATAGAGCCAAAAATATTATTGAGTGGCGAGAGAAAAATGGGCCTTTCATCAACCGAGAACAGTTGAAGAAGGTAAAAGGGCTTGGTCCAAAATCCTTCCAGCAGTGTGCTGGCTTCGTCAGAATCAACCAGGATTACATCCGGACATTCTGCAGGTGACTGTAAAAGCTTACACCCCTGGTGGTATTGCCAGCCTCCTCCCCTGCCATTGTTCTCCCTCCTGCTGACAGTGTAGGGTCTAGATGCCATTGTTCATTCCTTCACCCCATAGGACTTGTTTAGTATTGAAATAATTATATACATCTCAGTGGTATGGCGTTCCATGCTACTCACCCCAGTGTTCTGCCTTCCCAAATGAAAGACACATACACAGCCTTTATATTTTGATGTGTCTAATACAGCTCAATTGCTAGGCTACTGCCTAACCTCCATGCGGTAAATCCACCTCCCACCAATAATCCTGAGTTATTACTTAGTAAATCTTGCATCCTACCTTGGCTGCCGTGGACCCAGTTGGGTAGCCCTTTTGAGCTGCACTCTCCAGGCTCCTCCACATGAAGGCTATCCTCTCTGTCCTGCACCTTCTCAGGTGTGGCATCTCTCCTCTCCTCCTTCTCTGGTCATGGTGAATTTCCTTCTCCTCCCTTCCTCTCTGTCCCTCACCTGGGAATCCTGAAAGTCCCGCCTCTGTCTGCCCCGCCCGGGCATTGGCTGTTGTCATCTTTATTTACCAATCAGAATCAACTAGGGGCAGGGTCCCTCAGTGTCTTATGTGAGGACATACAGACTCTTGTGCAAACAATTTTGGGGAACCCAAATTAACATAAGAATACAGGCATTATTTGGCCAAGCCCACTACAGGGTTGAGCATGTTCTGCACTAGACAGGGAATACAGCAGTCAGTCAGCAAGATTCATGTTGTAATGCTTGGATAGGACAGTAAGCAAACAAGTAAAATATGTGGTTTCAAATGATAAATACTTGCTGTCAAAATTAAGGGAGTTAGTGCTGTTCCAAGGAGCCAAGCATTGCTTTAGATGTGTTAGGCATTAGAAAATTATTTGAGCAAAGTTTTGGGTAAAATGCAGGGCCAGCCAGGGCCAGCTGCACGGGGATCAGCACAGGCATCAAGTATGAGAAGCCCTGTGGCAGGGCTGGCTTTGATGTAAAACAAGATGCAACGGCACTGGGGGCGTGTGGCAGAGAAAGGAGAGGTGCAACTGCACAACAGCTGTGTGGCAGGGAACAGGAGAGGTGCCACAGCATGACGGCAGTGTGGCAGGGGAAGGGGCAGCAGAGAGTTGAGGTTCCTACATACAGTGGTGACTTCGTAATGACCACCGTTCACCAGCTGTGTGACTGAATGGAATCCTTCCCTTGGGTATGTCCAAGTTACCCAAAAGCAAAGAAATCGGATAAACTCAGTAGCATTTTATAATCGTAAAAGAATAGCCTTTATGAATCTGCTCCTTCGAGAATTCCTGGTCCATTAGTGTATATTTTTTCCTCTTCACAAAATTATAATAAAGATCATGCAAAAACAGTTTCATTCTGGAACAGTTTAAGAGAGAGTCAGCCACGTATGACAGTAGAATACACTACAAAGTTCAATAATGAAACAGCTGGGTTTTGATAAGTGGAACAGAAATAAAATCTCAAATTTATTATAGCATGTTTGAAACTTATGATAAAGTGACATTTCATATACTTACAGAAAATTACTCAACAGAAAAATATAACTCAGAAGGTAGTGTATGCAGAGAGAGGATGCCGCCGTCCTAACTCGCTCCTTTTTTTTTATTTTTTCAGTAAATCCAGGTAGATGTAGAGTTAAAGTTAAAGAGGGAAACTGTGAACATATGAACATGTAACACAAGTCATGGAGAACTCTTGCAGAACAGCAGTTGGTAGGACTTCTTCCCATGCAGATTACAAAACCCAGAAGCTAGGGCTGTGCTCACTTGCAGTTCCATGCTGGAAGTAGGGAGAGGAGACAGGACAGTCATGCGGCTTGCTGCGGGCCAGCCAGCCTGTCTGATCCAGTGGTGTTCAGGTTCAGTGAAAGAAAGACCTGTCTCAGAAAAATAAGTAAGAGAGTTTACTGGAGGAAGACACCCGATACCCAGCCCTAGCCTCCACAAGCCCATACATGCACACATGTGTGCCCTGCACACAAACACACCATATACACAAAACTCAGAAGCCACAAATGAAAACTGTTGAAGATAAAAATATAAGGAACAACAGGTCTTGTAAGAAACAAGAATAGCAATCTGCACAGAATACTTGGGAAGAGGTACGAATAAAACAAAGTTTTAAGTAGTCATAAAGCACAGACCTTCTGCTCATACTTAACAGTAAACACCACACACAAAGGTGACATAGAAACATGGTTACAGTGTGGAACTAAGCACAAGAAACTCTTGAAGTGAGACAGCAAGGCACAGTAAACTTCTTATTTCTTTTAAAATACTATGTGAGTTTTCTGACCAAGCTTTCAAAACACAAACTAACAAAGGATTATTTTATCATTGATAAACATTTGAGTTGTTTTAAAGCCTTATATTTTTCAACTGAGGTCAGTACTTGAAATTTTTGTGACTGTTATATCTTCTAGACAGTTCATGCCTTTAATAAGAATATCATATAAATTGCTACCTCGGTGGTATTTTTTTCCTTGAAATTTCCTAATTGCTAGCATTGTTGCTCTCCTTGTCCCTACAAGAGTGCATTCGCTGTTGTTTTTGTTCTTACTGTGCATTTAACTGATACTACTTCTTGTAAACATATCAGTCTCATGCTCTCCCTCAGTCTGACTCGGATACAGTTGTATGCATTGTATTAATTAATTGCACTGAATCTTTTGTTGTCCATATTTTTTCCATTGTGCTTTCTGATGTTCTCTCTTGAATTCTTAGTGAACAGATTTCTTCCTTATGTCTCTCCTTGTTTTCCTGTCACGTCTTTATCTTTCCTTGGTGGTTTCAGAGTTGCACATCTTCTGTCGTCCTGGTGATTATCCTCAACTTTGTCTTGAACTGACCTCTGGAGTTAGTCAGCAGCTCTGTCCTTTTGAAAAAGGCTAAATACTTAGGACTTTCCTCAGTTTCCCAACCTGCTTTTCTTTAGCTTCATTTTCCTTCATGGTATTTGTGTGCACACGTGCACAAACAGACACATAGGGAGCACGATTTCACTTTTATGCGTACATTTTAATAACATTTATAAGCGTGTATTTACTTTTTGATTTGTACTTCCCACTGTTACTATAGTACATGTTCCTGTTTCTAATCAGCGCTTCTCTTGGGTCCCTTTGTAAAGAACTCCTGAGACGATGTATAGATTTTTCTAAAGCTCTTACATGTCTGCAGATATTTTCAGCTTGTCCTCCAATTCAGTGATAGTTTGGCTCCACAGTCAGGGCATTTTCTTTATACCTTCAAGGTTATTTGTCTATGTTCTGATGTCTCCTGTTTGCAGTGTGAAATTTGATGCCAATCTGGTTTGGTTTACCTTATCTTTAAATGCTGTATTTTCAGATTCTTTTGAAAGCCATTGTCTTGTTTTTTCAAATAGACATCTGGAAGTATCCCATTGATATGTCAGACATAAATCTATTTTCATGATCCCATTCTGCACTCAGGTTCTATTGGAAGCTTGACTTTCCTCAGCTCTGAGAAACCATCTTTGTTACCTTACTATGATGGTGATAATTTTATTTATTCCTTCATTTCCCCTAGAATGCCAGTTGCAAGGACTGAATTGTGTAAGAATGTTTTGGGCTTTGAGTAACAGAAGTTGGATAAATAGTGTTGTAAGGAAGATGTGGTAATTTTGTGAAGTGAGTGGTTCATCTGTGTTTTGCATAGCAGAGAACTAAGCATATAATTAATCAAAGTTTCTTTGCTTTTCTTCCCAACTTCCTGCCTTGGAATGTGTTTTATCATTGTTTTACTGTCTGCAGTAGTCAGCACACTGACTCTTCAGGCCAGAGCCAGGAAGCTGCCATGGTCACGAATGAGAAGCTGGGCAAAAAGAAGAACAAAGCAGATGTCACCTTCGTACCAAACCCACTGGACCAGACTTGCATCCATCCGGAATCCTATGACATAGCAGCCAGGTGAGCCAGAGTCCAGGTCCAGACTGCTCCATGTGCCCAGTGAGTTTGGTACAGCACGTGGCCTTTGTATGGGCATAACGAGAGCCGATGTGCAAGGCTGGGCTTAACACAACAGCAGTTTTTAAAAGTTCCACATTGCTGAGTTGGCAGTGAGGAGGGAAGCCACAATTCCTGAAACTGTGTCAAACTAGTAAGCCCTGGTTCTAGGGGAGAAATGTGTGGAGTGGAAATTGTGTGGTACTCTGTCCGTTTTGGGAATTAGCATGATCAGTTGTCTGACACCTGGTATAACTTGGGCTCTTTGAAAGACAAACTCCTGTTTGAAAGTATAAACCACCAACATTCCCAAGAAATTCTGCTCTGCTGGGTTAGAGTCTAGTGTTCTTTTAGTGAGAACATATTAACAGAGAATAATACTGAGATGATTTTCAACACAAGAGAAGCTGAATGTAAGGTGTTCAGAGAAAACAACTTTAAAATTACTAATTTATTTGGTTTTGTGTATATGTGGGGAGTGGGATCAGAGGACAACTGGCAAGAAGAATCAGCTCTGTCTCCTTTTACCGTATGAGTCCTGAATAGTCAGCAGGTTTAGCAGCAAGACTCACTCACTGACCCAAAAACAGTGTTGTAGTTGCGTGTCTAGTTATCTTGAAAACTGTCTATTAGTTCAAAAGCTATGACTTGCCACATAACTAAAAGTTCCTAAGGGTCTGACTAGATTGTACAGTAGTGGCTTTAAAACCAGTTTGTTTTTACTTTGATTCTGAAATACGGGATCTGGAGATTGCTTTGAAATTTGATTTGCATTTGCTCACTTTGGTAAATGTCAGTGGCTTGTGTGGTAGGTTAAATAGGAATGGCCCCATAGATTCAAGTGTCTGAATCTTTGACCCAAGAAAGGCCATTTTGTAGAGGTGTGGTCTGGTTGTAGGAGGTATGTCACTGTGGAGCCAAGCTTTGATGTTTCCTATGCTCAAGCTACTCCCATTGTGACACACAGTTTCTCCCTCCCTGCTGCCTGTATATCCAAGTAGAACCTTCAGCTTCTTCTCCAGCACCATGTCTGCCTGTACACTGCTATGCTTCCTGTCCTGACAATAACAAGCTAAAACTCTGTAACTGTAAGGCAGCCCCAATTAGATGTTTGCCTTTATAAGAGTTGTCTTGGTCAACTTGGTGTCTCTTCACAGCAATAGAACCCTAAGAAAACTTGCTTTCTGTAGAACCATTTGCAGTTATAAAGGCACAGGAGTAACTCAGAAAAGGAGACATGAAGTTTTCCACAGACACAACAGTCTGCCTTCTTCAGAGTTTGATGATGGTGATGAGAGTCATTGACAGGTGCAGGGAATTCCTCTACTCATGCATCTGGATATTAGCATGCACTACACCTGCATTTCCACACATCTGTCCGTGTCTGTTCATCAGTTTATCCACCGTCTTATCTGGGAAGAGCACTGAAGTGTACTTTTCATTAAGCTCTTCAGGCATAGTTTAATAATTCTTTAGGGTTTTTTTTTTCTCTTGTAAAATATACATAAAATTAAAATTTAAGTGTGTATTTGCTGACTTTTAGAAAATACCAATATCAATTTAGTGTAAAAATCTTTCAAAATTAAAGAACAAAATAAACTATTGTTTTCATATCTAGACAGTCCCTTCGTTTGAAGCCAGACCTGCTGAAACCAGTCCCTGGGATATTGGCAAAATTTAGCTCATTGCTCTTAGAACTTCTTAAAATATGTCACCACTCAGGTGTGCCCACAAATGTCTTTCTTTTCCCAATGTAGTACTCAAAGAGTTAACATCACTGTGATTGGCACTGATAATTTGTTCCTTTTTTTTTTTATCCCCTACTGAGGAATGTTCCATTGTAAAAATACACTACAGTCTGTCTATTCTCCTACCTGAGGAATCAAGAGCTTCAGAAAAAGATTAACCAGCCTTTCCTAGTCCTTACTCTCAGTACAACATAAAATGCTTTTGGAACTTTGGTCTCCAAAACTAAAATCTGCAGCACATTTCTCAGTGAAACTCAACAAACAAAAAAGTAAAAGTTAACTAACTCTGACTTTCTATTCTATATGTCTTCCTTCATTTTTCTAAGCAGAGCTTTTACTTTTTTATGCACAGTTCCTTGTGGTGTGTTACTGTGTAGTGTTTCCAATGATACTATAAATGCAATTTCAAATTTATGGCTTTTCTGTTCCAGTGTATAAAAATACAGTTGAACTTTGTATAGTGTAGACCTGTTAAATTCTTGTATTAATTTTAGTATGTTCTTCCAGAACTCACAAATTTAGGTCATCAGCAAGTAGATTAAAATTTTACCTCTCCCATTTTAATCTTCATGCTTTTATTTCTTTGTCTTGCCTTTTGCAATGACCACAACCTTCAATACAGTGCTGAAAAAGGAGAAGGTCCTTCTTGTCTTGTTCTCAGCTCAGTGCATAATTCCTATTTTTTGACATCAAAAAATACTTCAGTCTCGGAGCAATGGTATTTTTAATGTTTGTTGTTTGCATAGATTTATATAGGCACAAGAATTCATAGACTTTTTTTAATACCTCTGCCATCTTTATGAGAATCTGATTAGCAATGTTATATTGTACAAACCATTGCCTTTCAATGTGCATTTTTGTGTTTATTTAATCTATTGATAAAATAGTTTATAAGATTTTACAATTTGCTTTCTATTGTGAGTATATATCCCTCATATTTAAAATACAGATATTATTTCATTGGATGGTTGCCTGTAACTTAGTGATAATAATTTGTCTTAGATAGGGCTTCATTGCTGTGAATGGACAATATGACTAAGGTAACTCTTATAAAGGCAAATTGGATCTGACTTACAGTTTCAGAGGTTCAGAGGTTTAGTCCATTTTCATCATGGTGGAAAGCATGGCAGTGTACAGGAAGACATGGTGCTGGAGGAGCCAAAGGCAGCCAGAAGAAGAGACTGCTGCACCATGCAGAGTTTAAGCACTCAGAAACCTGAGAGTCCACCTACACAGTGACACACTTCCTCTAAAAAGGCCATACCTTTCCAACAAGGCCACACCTCCTAATAGTGCCACTTCTTCTGAGAGCCATACCTAGCCACAGTATAATGCAAAATACATTTAGTCCAAGTCCCTATAGTCCATCACATTCTCAACAGTGTTTAAAAGTTCAGAGTCTCTTCTGAGATTCATATAATGCCTTGTTGAGTGATGTTTTTCCTCCCATGCTCCTGTTCCCAGAAATAATGACTCTAAGACTCAAATATATTTATAAATACCTAAGCTATAAACTTTGGGCTCTTTCCTGGCTGGCTCATAAGTTAATCATCCTGTTCTTTTTTTCTAAGTTCTCCCATGTGGCTGATCACTTCTGTTCAACTCTCATGTATCTCTCCTTCTTCATGTCTGGGGCAAATACTCCTAGGCCTGGCTCTATTACAGAATCCTTTCTGTCCACCGGCTGTCCCATCTTGTATTTTTGACTCTAAAGATAGATTCATAGATTTGAAACTGCCATATTCTACTACTTGCTGGCCTCTTGTTCTATTACATCTTCACTAGCTTTCTGTTTTCAGTGGTTTCCTTCACATCCTATGCTTGGCTGTTTTGAAACTTGCTCTGTAGACTGACCTTGATCTCACAGATCTGTATGCCTGTCTCTTGAGTGCTACAATTAAAGTTGTGTACTACCATGCCTTCACCTAAGCTTTTTTTTTTTTTTTTTTTTTGGTTAACCTGGAACTTGTTCTGTACTGGGCTGGTCTTGAACTCAGAGATCTTGCCTGTGTCTCCTAGGATTAATGATTTGTACCACCATGAGTGGACCTAAGCTTTTTTAATTCCTTTTCACAAGATCTTTATGAGTTCTGGATTGTAATTCATTCCAGATATAGTTAAATTGACAACTGAGAATAGTCATCACAATCCCTTCCTTGTCAGTTTATCTCCATATGTCCAAATGAAAACAATAAGCTGGTCATAATGCCTAACTATCCCTTGTTCAACTGCAAACCCGTAAACAATAAGTTGAGCTAGATAGATCTTGCCCGTAGGTTACCACTCCCTTAATTCCATTTGATATTCTTGAACACAGGATTTAGGTCCATTTCACTTCTTGGTGCCCCTTTACTCTTTGAACCATACTTTTTGTATATTTCCTTTCTGAGCTTGCTATATGTGATTAAAAGACTCTTCATAAGAGTGAACCACTGGCTGGGCGGTGGTGGCGCATGCCTTTAATCCCAGCACTTGGGAAGCAGAAGCAGGCGGATTTCTGAGTTTGAGGGTTCGAGGCTAGCTTGGTCTACAGTGTGAGTTCCAGGACAGCCAAAGCTACACAGAGAAACCCTGTCTAGAAAAACTGAAAAACCAAGAGTGCACCACAGGACATAGTGTATACTAGGCTTTTTTGAGACCCCTTTCCTCAATACAACCAAGCTGAATCTTTTCACCTTAGTCTGAGGCAGGCTCTTCATACAAGGCAAAAAACATTCATATTCTTCACCAAAATATCACATGAATTATCTGTAGGCTTAGATTTTTTTCAAATCCCACTTTGTTTTAGGTTCTTAAATGCTTCAACCTCCCTTCTAACCCACTGACTAGAAGTAGAGGAAAAAGGTTAATAGTAAAATGTAGACTGACCTATTTAGAAATAGTACTTTGTAGGGTGATTCCAGGATACCAGCTGTCCTGTGAAGCAGTGGACCGGGCCATCAGACAGAAAACTTGGTAAGGTCAACTGGATTCAGAAACCCTGGTACCCTCATACCTAAGGACAGTAGGTGTTTCATCTACTCCCGACCAGGTTCCTGTGATTGATCCCTAAAAATAGTACTGCTTTGTCAAAGGTTAGAAAGCTGCTGTGGCTCTTCACATACATTTGCTAACGTGCTAGCTTGTTACTCTGTCAACAGTGTTCATGCTAGAGTAGTCCTCATCTCCTGTTACACAAGAACCAATTTCCACCTGTGGAATATAAATGCCCAACTG